TTATGACGACCATGAATTGGACGTAGCGCTCTTTAAGTTGAGGCCACTGACTCCGAATTTCGGCAGTAATATTTTAATTACGACTCGTTGTTGATCCTTGTTGAAGAGAAATGTCAAAAGAGAGGTAAAAAATATGGCGTCGTTTGTTGTACCTATCGGTCTACTTTTGTAGCGCCTCTATTGAAAAATCATTTAAAACCTCAGTTTTATTTGAATGAAGAGCTAGACCGCTTAGGTACCATTTTGGTATACCCTTGAGTAAGCTCTAAGAATTTTCTTTAACCATAAGAGCAACATCATTTGTTCTTCAATGATCTTACTACTAAGATCAAGAACAAAGCAGACAGAACCTTACCTTGCGGAGTGGCTCAATTAACCTTTAGCAGTCCCCAATCCGCCACGACAATTCTATCACAAAGAAGAGAATATACTAAGTATATGTACTACTTGAGGTCCGGCTTATTCGAGTAAAGTGGAATATCTCCTAAGAGTCTACAAACACTGTTGTTTTTCCCTCTTCCTTTCTTGTCTTCTAGCTGTTCTTATCACACTGAATTTCGTAAAGCTTTTCCAAATTCTGCTACACAAATCTTTAAAATAGTCTAGTCCACTGTTCCTCAATGCTTCTTCGAATAAACATTGCCAAAATTTAAAGTACAATTATGTTCGATTTGGGCTTAAATATTGCTATAGGCTTTCTTTTATAATGGTAAGCAAATTATCATCATTATTGTTATCTAACAACACGGTGGTTAGTGGAAGACATACGTTTTGTATATTGCAATCAACCTAAGAAGTTTAAGTTTATTTTAGAAATCTAAGTCTCTCTCATTTTGTGGTTATTGATCTGTACTGGAGAACTTTTTTTTGAAATATGTCAATGAGGCTGGATCTGCAATTTCTACATTACGAGGTAGCCATGCAAGAATAAAATATTGAAATGAGGATCACCGTCTTTCTGCCTCACTCAAACATAAGAAGAACTGCGTTAAATTGTAGACATAATTACCATCCAAAGGCTAAAGCCACGTATACAGATTACTCCCAACTATTCCAGAAACTAATATCGGCAGTAGTTCCTACGACTTTCGTAACGTTCTTGAGCAAATCGAAAATACTTTCACCGGCGCAGTTAAAGCACTAAAGATCTAACAACAGCGCATAGCACAGTGACTCGGCAAAGCATTTCTCGGAGAAATGAAAACACAAATCGCTAACTAAATTCGGTGGCAGTAAAGACAGCTGTACGGCAAGCCGCGGGACAAATTATGGCTAAAATGTGCGCACGTCCGACGAATGATGCGGCAACACACACACACACACACCATCACAAATGAACAAACGAGGATATGCTCTGCCACAAATACACGCACATACAATAATATGCACGCAAATGAAAGCCAGGATGCAAACGTTGGAATAACATTTGTGGAAAGCTACAGCAAGCTAACACTCACACATGCACACACACACGCGTGGCAGCATATGCAAAGCAGCACACGCGCGCAACTCAGTACCGCAGCAATGCAAACAAGCTCAATATAAATAGGCAACAACAAAAAAGCTGCGGGCTGATGCTCATATAAAAACCGCTAGAGCAAATATATATGTGTGTATGGGTTTATATATGCTGCCAATGCGTGTACAGGGTGTTGTGCTAGAGAGGAAAGCCGCTAGAGAGGAAAGCCGCTAGAGAAGTGCGAGGGGGAAGCGCGAGCTGGTATCAGAATGCCAACAAAAGTTGTTCGTATAGCAAATCATTTTAATAAACTCCGAAAATACTGAAATTTTAATATTATATAAAACGCAACGATGCGTACGTGCCACACATACACACACCCATACATACACTCCCATAGATTATTGCGAAAAACGGTAGTCGGGCGGGCGCGCAATGCGGTTAAGGCGATGACGGGGCGTGGTGTTACAAGTGTACGCACATTAAAACACCAAATGCTTTCAACGCTTTAAAATTAGCGAGCGAGTGTAGTAAAAATGTGGCGCTGCCAGCGAAACCCGCATAAACGCACACATACACGCATGTACCCACATTAAGAGTACATTTTGGGTTTTCGTTTCATTGGATATATAAAAATGCGTACTCACATACTTATGTATGTATGTATTTGTGTAGTTAGAAGTTTAATTGAGCCACCTGTGATATCAACCTTTTACTTGAACTATATTGATCTTCCTGGTAATGGAGTCTCGGCATAAAATATATTCAGTAGACGATAGTTGATACAGAGCACAATAGTTTTGTTCATCTAACGGTTGCATATATTACCTAAGACTAATCGAGTTAGATAGATGTTTTGTTAATGTTTGTTCCAAGATAGCCAAGTCGTGAGTGCGATGACAGGAGATACTTCCTCTTGCCCTCGTTAATTGCTCCGCTTCCTAATGCAGTCTGGAGAAAGCAGAACAAATGGTGTGGGGGTTGATGCCAATGATATCAATTTCATCGGCGTACGCCAGCAGCTGTACACTCTTATATAAAATTATACCTGCTCGATTAAGCTCTGCAGTCCGATGCGTTGGAGAAACGGGTTCGCCATATTCTTCACTACTAATCAGCAGGCTGGAGAAGTGTGAGTTACCTCAATGGAATTATAATTTGCGTTTTTCCACCAAACCTTATGTCGAATAAGTTGATCAATGCATGACTTAAATATTGATACCCTTAAGGTATTTCCCTGGTTTTGATTCCTGCAATTGGCAACGATATAAAATATTCGGTTGCACCCGAACTTAGAAATGGGCAAGCTGCCGTTTTTAAAAAATCTCATAGATACGAGGGTAACGCCATCCAAACCAGAAGAAATATATGCTCAAATAAGACCAGCAACTTATTGGTGATCGATCGGCTATTTATCTGCTCGCCTCCCTTCTCTTTTCAAAAGATGCATAGGGTTGCACCACAAGTGTTGTTCGAGCATCTGGTATAGTTTGTTCGATCGGCTGGAGAGTAACCCTTGTAAAATCGAAAACACGTAATCGTGATTATATAAATAGATAAAGTATCACATTTTATACTGAAATTAAAGCACTTGGGAAAGCATATTTTCGGGAGTAGTTACAAAAGTAGGTGATCGTTATGGAATTCAAAGGAATATTTTGTAAAAGTAAACAGCCCTTGGCTTAATTCCGACATTACATGCATTCTCATTGGCAAATCTGACCCAGCATTAAAGATCCGCTACGTTCTGAGTATAATATGGCTTTCAGTTTCCTTTGAACTCTCTTCTTTCCTTCCTGCTATTTCTATTATTTTCTCTTCCGATGATTATTTAAGATCTCTAATCTGTAAGCTATGTATGCTCTCTAAGCTTAGTTTTAAAGTTGAGAGCCATACTCATGTCACATAGCTCTTGTTACATAAAGAATTAATAATATTTCAGAAATAAAATCGGTGCCTTAACAAGACATCAGTAAATTGCGAAAACCCCTTCGTTATAGAAGGTTCATCTAATGAAAATCCTATATACTACAATTATAAGGATTCGAAACCTAATTTAAGTTAAGGCATTGTAAGGCATCCTTCTTCGTCGCAAAACAGAAAATATAAAAAAAAAATTACTATGTAGTCGGTGTGAATAATTGTGGAGAAAAATTTTGAGATTGCCGCATGATTTGGAATTGAAAGATAAATAAATAAAACGTTCATAAAATAAACAGCTGTCAAAAGATTCAATTTTTTAAGTTCTACCAGTTTTCTACTTTATTTTTCAATTCTATTGTACAAAAACTCTTTAAAAATTCGCAAAATTTCCCAAAATATAAAAAAAAAAACGCAAGTCTATATGTAAATATGCACTTCCAACAAATAATCCCATTTTCCCGTTTTTCTGCTTAGCAACCAGTTTTATTTTTTGATTATAAACACTTTTAATAAAGCTCCACGTGTGGCTGACGGCGCCGTGAGGCTAAAAACTTCGACACCGCAAAAAATTACACGTACGAGTAAACACAACCTTTCCAGGTTGTGCGCATTTATTTACATACGATTCGGATTCTGTGTGTGTTTGTTGTAATTACAAGTAATAAAACCAATACAACTGACTTACGATACACACAAACAAAACCACTCAGACGTGAACTGCCATGTAAACAATGACTACCCAGTAAGCCAAGGATTGGGGACTTTCAAGCTTTTTACTATCTTCAAATAACTAAAAAAATCGTTTCCATATTTTTTGTGGCCGTAATAGTAAATGCTCAGGATCCTGTTAGGATATTACTGAATCTAGCCTTTAAGGTAATCCCCACCAGATGTAAATCATTTATGCTAATGATTTTTCCAGTCCTCGCAACACTTATAATAACTACTTTTTGGGATGGGCTTCAGCTGCTTCAACGAATTCTGCTTTATCTCTTCAATCGATTGAAAACGGTTTCCATTCCGATTCCGATTATTGATTTGTTTGCATATAAAACTCATGTCTCATCGGCAGTTATAATGTTTTCCATGGATGTGGGATCAGAGTCTGCACGATCAAGAATGACCAAAGATTCCTTTTTACGGTACTCTCTCTTAAAAAATTCAGCTTTATCGGGACGAGCCAAACAAGAACGCTTTCATACACAAAATATCTACTAAAATTATTCGAACGAACTCGAGGGAGATGTCGAGATCTCTTATCCTTCACTTTTTAATATTTTCATTAGTTGAAGAGATCGAAGGTCGTATAGAACGAAACATGCTTACAACCATCTCTCGACCGTCTTTGAAGGCTTTGTACCACTAGTAAGATTGTATTTTTGAAAAAAAATGGATCACGGTAAGTCTTTTCCAACATTCGCAACGATTTCGTTTGTTTATTAGGTAACGCTTTTGTTTAAGTAATAAACACATATTTATATATTTTGGTTTACAAGACAAACATGTACAAACATGTACATTATAATTATATTTATAGGAACTCATTAAAGTACTTCTTGTATTTCACTCCACCTATGTTTTCCTCCAAGTAATTGCATTTCTTTTTCTTTGCACGCAGACGAATCGTATCAGCGGACAGCGAGGACAATTGGCGCGCATACAACCGTGGCAGGCGTAACAACAACAACAGTAACGAACAAGGATACTGGCATATCTAAAGCAAGAGATTTCCATTCGAATGCGCGACACTCGAAGAAATTAAAGGGCGACTTCGGTGGAGATGGGGGAGCAGGAGGTGCGGCGACAGGCGGAAAGATTGAAACAAATAAGCAAGCAATCGGCAATTGTGAAGATAACGAGACGGACGTGGCAGCGCAACTCGTGTGGCTGGAAAAGATCTACGCGCTCAACAAGAAGCTGCAGCGCGAGGAGGAGATGCTGCTGAAGTTGCACGCGAAAATACGAAAACATCAAGTGAAACGTGCCTACCAAACCAAACGTGAAGTGTTGCAACAAATTGAGAAATTGGATGCGGAGTTGACGTTGCAATGTTGTGACATACGCGCCGTCGAGAGCAAATTGCACACGTCCAACGAGCAACTGAAACAGAAGCTGGGCGTTTTGGAGCGGCTGAGTCAGGAGTTTCTGCAGACGATGGAGACGCCGACGGCGGAGGCTGGGCTGCACGCAGATGCGGCTGACGTGACGGTGGCGGTTGTTAGTCAGATGGCTGCTAATCGAATGCCAGATGTAATTAACAATGACGGTCACAATCTTGCAACAGTCTTGCCTGCGACGGAGGTGGCAAGTGCAAAGGAGCTGCGAGTGGCTGATGTGTCGTTGCATGCTGCGAAACAGACGACAGAACAGCTAGCGGCACAAGAAAGTTGCCAGCTACAGCAAAGTGATGGCACGCAAGAAGCTGTGTGGCACTTACAAGATGAAAATATGGACTTGCCACAGACAATGCATGCAACCGCCGCTCATGCTAATAAAATTAAGGAATTGAGTGAGCTAACGCAAACAAACACCACAGCAATGACAACAGCTCAAATACAATCAGCTGCAGAAAACGAAATAGCAACAACAACAAATACATCGGTATTGAGGCATGCAACGACGCTGATATCAAAACTGACAGCGACAAGTTGTACCCCATCATCGTCAACGTTGTCGTCAGCCACACAAACGCCAGCCGTAACGACAGCAACAACGCCCTCAGACACAACAACACACGCGCAGTCAACCAACAAGGCAGCCGTATCTGCATGTAACATGCCAGCAATGTCGCCGGCGGATGAAAAACAAACCACAGCACTACATCTTCTTCAGCCGCAGCATCTGCAACAACAACAACAGCAGCAACGAGCGCAACGTAAACAATTACCAGCGGCGGCGGCTGAAGACGGCAATAACTCACAACAATGTGTCGCCGCTGATGACTTGCTCGTCGATGCACTGGCAGCCGTTGGCGGCGTGGCACTTCCGCAAAGCAATTATCCAATTAGTTGCATTAATCAAGCGGCCATACACGCCACCAGTGCGTTACCAACGCAGCCGAGTGTTGTTGCAGCTGCAAATTTCACAACGCCTGAGCAAGCGTTGCCAACAGCCGCAGCACTATTGCCAGCCGCCTATTTAACGTCTTCAGCAACGCACTCCGCGGGAAATATAACAAGCTGCCAACAACAACAGCAAGTGCTGTTGGTGGCGCAACCGCAATTGTTGCCGCAAAGACAATATTTGAGCTACATGAATGCTAGCTGCTTAAGCAACGACAACGACAGTGGCGATGTCAGCAGCAACAACAAGAACTTATTACCGCCCTCACATGCCGCCCACACGAAAACGCTGCAGAAACAAATGTTCGGTCCGAAATCTCTCAATCAGCGGGCACCGCCTAAAACGGCAGCGTGGACCACACCTACCGCCCCCATGACAACGCCCACGCTTGTGGGAGCGCATAACGGCTTCAGCATGCCATCAATATTAGCACCTCTTCGTCCAACGACGCCGACAGCACTTTCGGCTGCACCTGTGGTTCCGCCGGTTGTGGATATTACGCAGCTGGGCACATTGGTCTAAAGATAACGATGGGTTACTCGGTTGTTTGCTGACCAGCAACCGCACATTTGCGCAGCCAGTGGGCAAAGGAGCGCGCCTTGAGTGCTCAATACAGCTGGTGTAGGTTACACGGTGACTATAAATTACTGCACAGTGTTTTGGATTTAGCTCATCAACAGCAAATATGTATTAGAAGTAAAGCTTTTGAAAAAAATTTGCGCTTATCTTAAACTTTCGAGTTTCGAGTTGGTAAAATGAGGGCAGGGAAATGAATAGTACTTAAGGAAGTATATACCACTATCACCAATATTATTTATTTATTAATATACTAATTCTTTGAGAATTATTAACTTCGTCTTTCTGAGCGCGTGAGAAAATATGGCGCATGTCCTGAAATTTTCCTCATCAAAACCAACAACTACTGAGCGTAAATGGCTCTCAGACCTTTTTGGTACCATCTAAAATTTCTCGAGTGCGATTGAAACCCTCACTTTTCATCAGAAAATAGTTTGACAAAAGCTCGGCTAAAGACAATTTTTAAGATTTTGTGACTGCCGATGTCGTACTTGTGGATTTTCTTTTTAATCGGAGTTATATCTGTTGACTCTGATTGTGAATTTAGTTGTCTGGAGGTATTACGAGTATACAAGTATAGAAGCATGTCTCGAACAACGTGCTTTGGTTCCTTGTCTTGTTGACAAATCCAACGCTTTCCAATAGTCAAACTATCCACAGTTGCCTTCAATTATGTTTCAATTAGCTTAGCGGTACATAGTACCCTTCATAAGAAAATCAGTACCCCTCATTTAAGAAACGTGTTCGGTATAAAGTTGAAAGGTGAAAGCATATTTTATTTTGTCTAMTATATTAACAATTATCTATTATTAGCAATCATATATCATATATTATATATAGTATTCTAGAACTAGCATTGACCTGTTTCATATAGGCCAACTGTGTGTAATTATATTTTGCAATTATTATTTTATTTTTTGTTTTAATAATTTTACTGCTTATAATAAATAATGGTTAGTATTAGAATTGAAAATTTGCTATTCTAAGACACTGTGCAGCGCCGTTTATTGTCACACGCTGTTTTCGCATCTTCCTGGCTGCGCCCGCGGCAATGGCAACGCTGTGGAACCACTTATCATTAAACGTTGGGAATTTGCGGTGACGCTTAAGCGGCATTACAATGCATAGATATATTTAGATATTAGCTGTTATACATACATACATTTGTACATACTTTTATAAGGACTTGGCCATCAGGCGTGCCTTCGTGTCTTTTGATGCTCGGTCTTCAGCAAATTTCCTTATTTTCCACACATTTTTCTCAACTCTACAAAGTGACCTTACTTACGTGTCGTTTATGGCACATTTTCATTTACATACACATAGTATATACATACAAATGTATATACATATATAGTAGCTTCATAAGTATATTTAAGTAAGTTTGTGCGGGCATTTGTGTATTTGCAATGGCGATTTTTTCACAAAGAATACAAAATAAAATGCGGCGTTTGTAGTTGTGTGCGTATTTATACAACGATTATGTACATATGTAAGCAAACGTATTATTATGTAATCTTATTTATGAATTCTATTAAATCAATGTAAGTACATACGTTTTTTTCGCTCGATGTAAATGTAAATGGACCATACTCGTTTCCATGAAAACATTGCGTGGGCTTGCAAAAATACACGTGCGCATATACTTCTATGTTGGTGGGTGGGTGTGTGTGTGTGTGTGTGTGTGAAGCCCTCAAAAGCGTGTTTTTGCGCGCTTTTCTATTTTTTAAGTGAATATTTGTGGTTATTATGCGCAACAGCCGCAAAAATGGCAAAGTAATATTATTTAATGAATTTAAAAGCCGCCTCACGCACACACCCACACACAATATTTGTATGATTACATTTTGGCTTTGAACATGTACCAAATTGTTGTTAATTAACCAAATAAATTTGATTATACATATGTGCGTATGTATGTATTTTGAATGATCGCGCGGTATGGACCAGCATTTAAATGCTGATTTTGTGGTTTTTGCTGTTGTATTTGTTCCATTTGTTTGATTTTAATTTAATTTCCTCCGCCATTGACATTGCGTATTTCTATTTGCACACTAGTCGTCGCACAATTATCGCAGCAGCGTGCGACCAAACAAGTGCATGCTCAAATACACACGCACACACTCAGGGCTACGCATGCATGTGTGTGTATGCATTGTGGCATTACGGCTTTGACGATTGCAATCGCTAGTTTTATTGATTTCCATTATAATTTCCATTGCTGATTTATTACTACGCGGCTGACCATGATTGTGCGGTTTGTTTGTTTTTGTTTTTGCTTATTGTGCTTTTTAGCCAAACTGTCACATTCGCAACAGATCGCCCCCACATCCAAACACTGTGAACAATTTTTTTTATTGGAGCGCTGCTCCTTCAGTCTTTCCGTTTTTGTTTTCGTGCTGTTTTTCTGTCACTCTCTTGTCATTTCCACTGCTCCCGAAATACCTTCACAAATTCCACGTACCCATGTGCCCTACCCTCACTCTTCTTGTTCACTGTCTGACCCTTTGCGGCACTTTTGTGTTTAGTGTCTGCGGTAGCTCTGGTGACTTTGTTGGTTTTGTTGTTGGCTTTATGTTCACCAGCGTACATTAAGGGCTGCTCATCAATTCGTAACATTCCGTTAGGGATCACAAAGCATTGCTGCAAATTGTGGGTTCGAATTTGTGTATTATGCTCGGCTATGTGTGTGTGTGTTCAGTAACTATGTGTGCGGTCGTTCCGATGGATTAAGCGCGTTTGGTCGTCGGTCGTTTGTCGAATTCTAATGCGGTTAAGTGCGCGAGTGGCTTTTTTGCTAATGCATACCCAATAGGAATTGTGGGAGTGAAGCTGGAACAAAAACTTTCGGTATTTCAAAATACTCCGCAAAGGTTTCTACAAAGAAAGATGGTTCTCAAGGTTAACCACGCCCATAATGAATGCTGATATTAGAAATTAGTGAAGGCAAGCTCTGAGAAGCGAAGACGTTGGAGAGGTTTGCCGTTCAAATAGATGAAAACGCTTCAACTCAAAAAGTAGTCGACGGCGTACCCGCCGGGGGAACCCGAGAAAAAGGAAACCATCCACTCCATTAGAATTCCGAAGGAGCTGGCTGCACTTGTAATCTCCAATTGGCACAATCACGCTCGTAAACTCGGATATAACCACGTAAGCGGTGTCGACGGTAATATAATAAAAAGGAAGAAGCTCCCGGAATGACCAATATAAATTGGAGCCCAAACCGATTCGATAAATCGAGGTCCAGGTGTGTAAGAGAAGTCTACTGGTCTAAAATGTTATTCTTCTTAATTAAACTCAGATCCTGCGCCAATGCCAACTCAGATGGTAACTCGAAGGCGGATAATTTTTCTTGGGGCTTCGCTCTGTTCCTATAATCTAAAACCGATATTTCGATATTCAATAAGATTTGATATAAGTATGATATAATACTCTCTAGGATGTACCTCGTGTGCGGAGCCTAAAGAATAGCGACCAGGAAAATGTTCGAGTGATCTAATAGAATCTACAGAAGAGGCCACCCAATGGAATTAGTCACAGTTTCGAAGAAAACAGTTACAGCTTTTTGAAATAGCCTTGTCAAAGTAGCAAATATTTGGATCGAATAATTTACGGTCATTTAATTTTTTGGTCTCATCCCGTTCATTCGTGTTCTTCTAAAATTTTCTGAAAAGTAGAAAACACTATTTCTCTTATTTATCCTGTGCATACATTTCATGTAATATTTTTAATATAATATTAAAAAATTTGTGTTCAATACAGAAGTTTTCTTTTCGAAATTTTGCGTGAAACCTCAAGGTCTGACATGTTCTACATTCCGCAGCCATTTAAAAGCCGCGTTCTTACGAAAAATCAAAGCCACACGGTAACCACGACACATAGTTTAATCAAAACTTTCCTGCACGTCATTCATACCCACACACCCTCATACTCACTCTTCCACCAATTTGAGTAGTACTATTAGCACGTTACTTGCTCATGAACCTATCGTTACTATACATTCGGCAAAGCATTTGCTCGGCTCTCGAGTGAAATTAATTCGCCTGCAGTTTACGGTGTTCATTATCGAATTTTGCATACCGAAATTCATGGCATTTCCGAGCGAGCAAAGCATCTAATGTGCAGTTCAAGGAGAAATTATTGTCGTCATATATGAATAAGTCTGCGGATATTGAAGTGATGACTCATTTAGCGAAGCCATTCGATACTGTTAATGTGGTTCGTTGAGGATTAATCGGAAATTTCAGGTTTCGGCGATGTCAGCGATGTGCACAAAACCATAAATGAGAATAGTGGCTGATAATAACAAAATAAATATTTATGCGACTGGCTGGGTGAGGATGCCTTTTGTGAGTGTTAAGAGTTATGACTTTCGAGGATATTTCTGGTACTGAGAATTGAGTGAATTGGTTGTTATAATAACAATAAAGATTATAATCTGCTGTCTTTAATATTATTTTTCTGTGGATTCCGAGATCATCTAAAGCCATTGGCAACTGAAAATTTGATAAATTGTACTTCGGTATGTACTTCGCAATGATTATTCTTATTTTTACAAAAATTAATATGTGGTTGGTTTATCGATACTCTTACTAAGTTTAAAAAATGTCACTTACTTTCTAAAGCATGCGTTTCTCCACTTTTATAGTATTTCATGAATAATTGAATTTCTTCACTCTCCCTGTTCAACATAATATAAAAAAAAAAATATTTTTCTTTATTAGGCAAATATTGAAATCCAACCAGGATAATTATAAACTATTTCATGTATGTTGTGGGTGCTCGATAATAAATTATCTCTGCTAATTTGTTGTTGGTATGCAGAAGATGCATGTGTGTGTGCAGTTATTAGTCTCCACTATACGCTACTTTCACTAATTGGTTAAGTAGGCTTATTTCAATGGATAAACTAATAAAAATTTAATTATTCTACAATTAGGAAAATATTTAAAAAGACCATGTAAAATAATTGAATGAGGTTGATTGAAAATTTCTGCCCCACACAATGGCATTAGCGTGGCAAATTGCGTTTGCAAACTGCACACACAGAATATTAGTCGCTTAACTGTGAGTGAAACCAAATGCCGACATACATAAGTGGGTAATTTGCAATAGTTTGTGTTTTAATAATGTTAAATTCGTAATCACAAAGCGTAATTACGAAATCGATTTGAATTTACAAAATATTTAAAATTTATTTAATAGGATTAGCAAATGGTTTGTTATTTTAACTATTGAACTAAAAATATTTTTTTGAATTTACTCAGTAAAGAGAAGATTTGTGGCCAGACTAGTACCCGAATAGCTGCCCATCTGGATATCAAAATCGGGAATATCTGGCAGAGAGCACACATGTTTTATCTTTTCTGAACCAGTGGTATAGTCCATGACACCCCAAATCGAAATTTGTTTTTAAGAACACTCACATAAAAAACGTTCTTTTTGAACCTAAACATGCTACGTTAACTATTATTGATAGAAAACAAGTTTGTCGAAGGAAAACATAGGTAAGACATACATACTCTGGTATATCTTATAAAGGAAATATAGCTTTTAAATGCATCATCTAATTTTTAGGTTTACTCTTAACAATAAATAATTCTTTAGAAACCCGAATTAAGTCTTCGACGTGCTACGTAGTGGGCAAATAGCGCACAGCAAGCGACCATGACTTATGGTTAGATTTATTGTTACGGACTCTACTCATAACAGGCTTCAAGCGATTATAACCATTTCTGAATTTAAAAAAAATGTGGAAAATTTTCTTATTTTTTTTATTTTTTATTTTTTTTTCACTGTCATTGTTAAGTATGTACTAGAGGACAGCTCTGCAAAATTCCAGAAAATAGAGGAGAGGAGATATGTGATATAGTTGTTCGATCTGACCGATTCCGACAAATGATCAATATAATATAGAAAGGTCTTTACTCAACCGATCTTCATGAAATTGTACACAGGTCTTTAAGATATACAAGTAATTCTTAAAGACTTAGACGAGGGATTTTTTTCGATTATAACTATTTGGAAAAAAGTGTTGCGAAATTGTTACTATAATTTTAATTGTTTGTAAAAATGTCTGCCAAAAATCCAATTTTAACTTTTTTTCTTTCGTCAATATTTTTTCACTTTAGATGCTCTGGTAAGGAGTTATCCAACGCGGTCGCATTTTTTTTCCCGAGGGGTCACCGAAAATTCCATAATTTCTTTCTTAATAGTGTATTTTTGTAACAATAAAAAAAGTTCTAATAAAGTATTTAATTTTTTTTTATAAAAAAAAAAAAATTGGAAAAAGGCTGTTTTTTACCTGAGGAAACTCATGTAATCCCTTATACAACTCTATAGTGTAAATTTTTGACAAACAAAAAGTGTTGTTTTTTTTTTTTTTTTGATAAACACTTTTTCCGGAAATCAAAATATTTACTAGTCATTTGATCATTACCTATATTCTTCTATTGAATTTTTTTTTTTATTGTTTTTCTTTTGGGACATTTTTAGGCAGCTTGTTCAGATGTCTTTCCGGATATCAATTAAACCCAAAATTGAATAGCTAATTATTTCTGGATATATCTAAATTCTGTAAAAATATTAATCATAAAATTTTTTCAGTAAAAATCGATTAGAACAGTAGCCATATTTTTAACAGAAGTATCATAATAATAGGTTGTCAAAAAAGTCTTGCGGTATTTTTATTGAATTTTTTTTCCAATTTTCAATTGTTCATAAATTTTTTTTTGATGACTCATGCCCAGCTCTTGACCGATGCTACGGCTGCTACTATGCCGGTCTCTTTTGACCAATTCAGCGATTTTATCGCAATTTTCGACATCAGGCCTTCCGGAGCGTGGCGCATCTTCGACCACCTCTACTCCAGAACGAAAACTTTGAAACTATCGTTGTGCGGTGGAAATGGAAACTGTATGGGGTCCATAAACTGCACAAATTTTATTGGCGGCTTGAGCTGCATTTTTGCCTTTATCGTAGTAGTACTGTAAAATATGCCGTATTTTCTCTTTATTTTGCTCCATGTTTGCGTTGCTATAACTCACGAACGTCTTAAAAGAAACGACAATCAATCAAATCAAACACGTGTTAGCGCGTGAAATGAGCTTTCCAAAACGGTATAGCATGACCCGATGCGATGAATAAAACTAGAACTACGCGCTCTCAGCGCCAACTAGCGAAAGTACCTCAAGACTTTTTTGACAATATAATATTTTAAAAGCTCAGAGCCACGAATGAGGCTCATAAAGTTTTATCAGACTTTTTAATAAGTGAATTAAGTTTAGTCATTCTCTAGTCATGACCTTTGGGCACAATAGACCTCTTACTATATGACGCGGTGCAAACCTCAATTAACTTCTAACAATCATCTTTGGGAGTTGACTGCAGGAATATCAGATCCACTGAAAAGTACCCTTATGATATCAGAGGGTTAAAGCGACGACAGTGCCCAAGTATTAGCATTTGCTATATATACTTACATTTTGTGTTTTAGTAAATAAAAAAACGAAATCAGCAGAGCTTCATAAGATTAAAACCACTATTTTTTTAATTTATATTCTATTTTTGATTTATTTCATTGCAATTCTTTTATATTGCATTTTCTTGTTTACATATGCATTTCATTTTTTTTTTTATAACTATATATTTTATATGTTTCACACACACTAATGTAAATTATTTTCGTTACGGCTTTCAAATGTTGAAATTCATTGCCAGTTTATCGCTATTTTTCGAGTGTGAGAGGGAACTAGAGAGAGAGAGAGCAAGACAAATTCTGCTTATTTGCAAAATCATATGCAACATTTTAGCTTGAATTTAAGCTCTAGCATTTTAAATTTAAAAATGTGGCAGCTTTGCGTAAAATTATAAAAACAAAATTGGCAGAATATTTTTACATTATTTTATAAAATTATTCTTCATAAATTCGTTGTCACATCAAGTGTCAAAAAAAGCTGCCCTCAGTTCATTTGTATTTACTTTTTAAGTTTGTATATACATATGCAAAGATTTTGTCTGTGTATTTGTTTAACAAAATATTAATTTTGCCAAACCATTTTATATACCTACAGTTACTTACATATTTATGGAGTTGGCTTTTCGATCTTTGACTTTTGCGATTTTTTCGTATTATTGAAATCTGTTGGTCTTTGTTGTTTTTATTTTAATTTATTTTATTTTGTGTCTTAGCTCCAACTCACTGAATCGTTCTTTTTTATAGCTATTCTAAGATGCTTTGCGCCATCTCTTCAACTTAAAGTCTCCTTTCACTATTGTTTTTGTATCGCATCATCGCCTTCCACACTACGCCTTAACTATCTTCAGCTTAAATATTGCATATTATTTTTAAGGAGAAATTTTATTTCTTAATTTTTTATAGCTAGAGTTCTTATAAATTTGTTTAACATACAATGTTCTTATACGTATATGTAAATGGTATTCTAGATATATGGATATATACAAATGCAACTTCGCTTTTATATGTGTGTATGTGTGAAAGTGTCGTTTCATATGTTCATAAATGCTTGTAAATTTAACTATGTCTGCGTTAGCTTCCCTATTTTTAAATAAAAAATATATCCCTTACTCAGTATACATAAATTTCCCTTACTTATAACTGTTATAACTGTAATTCTCGTTTCATTGGCAATATTTTATTGCTCAATCGTTTTTAAACTACAATTTACCTACAGTTGCATTAAATTTTGTTTGTATGTGTGCACACATTTACCGCAATCATATTTATTCAGTGAATTTAACAAAAATAATTTACCTGCACGGTTTTCGCATTCTTTTCGAGAATTGTGGTATTTTATGGAAGTGCAAAGGTTGTGAGCCGGTTTTTATTGAAACAGATGGCTGCTCTTAAACAATTAAATAATTGCTGAAAGACTTCGAGAATTTGAGCTCAGGAAATATTTAATATGAATCATTAATTATTGAAATGTATAAAGAAACAAGTAAGGAAGGCCTAAGTTCGGGTGCAACCAAACATTTTATACTCTTGCAACTTGCAAGAATCAAAGCCATGGAAATACTTTGAGATGTAAAACCAATCATATGGAATAAAGGCAGGCGGATTGTCGAAAATCCTGATATTAGTTATATAGGGAGTAAGTCAAACTTCGCTAAAATTTATCTATTTTAGGCACAAAGACACACTGTTATGAATAAAACAAGTTCACTTATATTCATTGGGAAAACTCACATATTGGCCGATATATGCGGTACAAAACCACACCGAAGTTCGAAAATATTGGTCCGACTCAACCCATTTTTGACATACAGACATACCATTATAAGACAAAGATTATCCTTTAATATCACTTATATACATATATCACACATTCATCGATATTTAAAAAGTCAACTATAGGTGCCGGAGCTCAAATATTCGGTACCTTGGTTCTAGAACAGTTTTTGTTGGATTTGTAGGAAATTTTGAAATAGAAAATTTTTTGGTTAGCTAAAACTGCACCTGAAATCAGGACGCAAGAAATCAAAATTTTATGGGCGTGGAATTAATCTCTTAACCGAAAACTGGCCATAGTTATTGGATCAAAATGCAGAATACATAATTTCTTTTTTTAGGAGCAGGATTATTAGGCAAATGTTTTTTAGTAGGCATTTTATTTAACAATTAAAATTTTAAAAATTTAATGGATTTCCTTGATTTCGGAGCCAATCTTCCGGAGGATCTCCGAAAAAAGGTTTCTGGCGTAGAAGACGATTTTCTGCTTACAATTATCTCTATTCCAAAATCACAAACAATTTATTATTACTATAGGGAAATGTAGAAAATGAAGGACGGACTAGTTAAAATTTTGAGTTTTGACAAAATGGAGTAGACGCTTCTTTGTTTTGTATGGAATTGGTTGGTGTGTCTAAATGTTAGATTTATTCCCGTTGCAAGTAGCTTGTGCAGACAGCCAAATAAGACTCAGAATTTGGATATTTCGAAACTAAATTAAATTTTTGTAAAAATAGTACCGCAAAAAGGTCTCTTTGGGCGTGCTTAATCCTGCTAATGCCGATGCATGTGGGATCATTATATCTGTCAATGGTTTGACAGGCAAACAAGTCAAAAATCATCGGAAAGGAGGCAAAAAAAAAAAAACGAACCGAAACTAAAAACGCACGCTAAAGGCGGTGTAAAATAATGGTGATGCTTATCGTTTTTCCGAAATTTGTGGTTTGGTACATCCTAAATTTGTTCCGGAAGGATAGATGGTCAATAAAGATTTCTTCTTGGAAGTATTAAGGTGTTTGTGTATATTTAATGTAAATATTTTACACAATGATAATGCACCATCGCATCGAACCACGATAGCGACTGAGTTTAAGGGGCTATAACAGTGTGTCACTTTCAAAAAAACAAAAAAAAAAAAAAAAAACATGTATTTGCCTTTTTCCATAGTTGATATTTCCACAAATATCCTGTTAAAAAGAGCGACCGCTCGCAGATATATGTAATCCTATATAAGAGAAACTTTAAACGCCTTTTTCTCGAAACAACATTTTTTAAAATTACTGACATCATAACTCAACGAGAAATTAACCGATCGACTTCAAATTAAAACTGAGTATTGTTGAATACATTTACTATATAATGACCTACGATCTTTACGTAATACAATTACAGTGTATAGAAAATATCTTTGAGTTTAATAAACTTTGTGAATTTTTTTTTTTTGTTTTTTTTTTTTTTTTTTTTTTTTTTTTTTTTTTTTTTTTTTTTGTTTTAGCTACTCATTCGGCCGGAATCATGTCAGCAGTTGGCGCACTGTTTTTTTTTTGTCACCTTGAAGATAGCCCATAATTCCATTATTTTTCAACATTTTTATAAAAAAAAAGTCTTAAAATTTAGCTGAAAGTATACCTTATAGCCTCTTAAAGCCAAAAAGGCAATGAATATGTGAATGAATGTGATTTTTAATTTTTTTTCAAACTGAAATTGATTACACAAAATTCCCTGAAAGAGCTGAAGGCCATGCCAAAAAGTGCTTATGAAGAGCGTTTCGAGGACAGAAAAAATCGTATTACTTTTGGTGGGTATTACTTTGAATACGGCAAAATAAATATCGATGATTAATAAATATTTTGCGTTTTATTTACATTTTTCTGGTATTTTTTAGGTCACAACATAACGTATAACTAAAAAGCAACAAAAGAGAGACGTAAAGTACTGAAAACATAACTGACTAAAGCCGGTGTGAACATCTCCTTAGTGCTTATAATTATGAATATTTTCGATTGCCATGGGTGGATTTGGCCTCAGCAATAATTTAATAAATAATATTTGCTTGTATTTTGCGGTATTTATTTAACTGTTGTTCGCCAGAAAATGCATTATTTCATTATACGAATAAAAAAATAACCTCAAAATAATTGTTTAACAATTATTAATTTTACTCACCAATTATACCACATTCAAATTCGTATTTTGCACACAATAACATCACCAATTTATTGTTTACACTATTATTTTGCAGTTCAAATACGCGTATTTACCGTTATTCACAGTTCTCCCCGCTGCAATTAGTTGCTTGCTTTGCTCGTTTTGATATTTTTTCAGTGCTGCCATCCAGTTGGAATGTTCAGTGCATATATTTGACTTTTTCGCTTGAATTACGCATCGATGATTTGCACTAACCCCCTTCGGGTGCATAAATTGTCAAAATATTTCGCCCGGCTGGCTGCGCGACTGCGCTCGGTGGCGTACTGTTTGTGCAACAACTTAAATTGTTTGGATTCAGCGGGGATTTGGCGCAACGTTTTGTCGATTTTTGATTTTAATTTCAGCTTTAACACAAATTCTCGCCATTGATTAGCTTTTTTGTTGCTATTTTTTCAATTTTTTATGCTTTGCATTTGCGTACTCATACATATTGGTATTCATAATATAAAAAATGTGTTTCACGCTTATAATAAATGAACTCTGTGGTTTCACCCACTCCACGTTACACACTCAAACATACAACTGATCATGAAAATAAATTCATTTTTACACATTTTTTTCTTAATTTCTTTATAAATTCAACATTTTGTCCACTACCTTATACAATATGACTATAAGTATGTTTGTATGTATATATGTATGTAAGTTGTCTTAATTATCGCTTCGTTAACTAATTGCTTCAATTAAATGTCATATTAATTTACTTAAGCTACTTAATTAGTTAAATTATAAAAATTCAACTATAACGCTGCTCGGCCCTCCGCCAACGCATACCTGCCTCGTTGGTTAGGACTTCGTTTGCGCTATCCCGTTTGGCTAATTGAGTAACTTTTACCTGTGCACTAGCGTGTAGGGCTGGTGTGGGGCGTGCAGCAGCAAGAGCAGCAACAACAGGCTGAGCAACGCGCAATGCACGACCAACTGCTGGTGGAATGCGCTAGGAACCGTGGGTGCTGCGGCGCCGTGATGCAGTTCGGCGAAACTTTCACCTAGACACAGTCGAATGGCAGCGCAGAGGTAACGGAGTATCACGAAGTGCGAGCGGCGCCGGAAGTGCCGGATGCGCATTAAGTCGTCGTCGCAACAGCGGGTGCAACAGCAACGCAATCAATTGTTGCATGAACAGCATGCGATAATGCAGCAGAGTGGGAAGAACAAGAATAAAGCGAATAGCTTTGTTATAAATAAGTTATGAAAATACATTATTAGCGAAGTATATCTGTGTGCAAGTATCTGACGTGGTAGATGAAGGTTGGATAATGAGAATTGAGTAAGAATTTGTGGATTGCGCTACACAAGACTGAGAAATGTTACGATGGGGTGATGATGACTTGAAGTATAAAATAATTAGTGGAAGTGACACTAATATTACACTATTTGCATTTAAAGTGTGAAGGAGTGAAAAGCAAAGGAAATGGAAATCAGTATTAATTTGTGTAAGATAAAGATAAAGATAAAATAAATCGAACATTCAAGAGAAGGAAATGTTGTCGATTTAAAAAATAGTGTGAATACAAAAATAAACATTGTCGACACTACGATTTCAAAAACTTTGAAAAATTACGTATCAAACAAAGAATTGACATAAATCTGATAAACTGATAATATCATGAAATGAAGAAATAGAATAATAAAAGGTGACAAATTTGTGTTATTTTAATTTATTAAAAGTTAATATCCAAGTAGGGTACTCCAATACAGAGTAGAAATAATAAAGTAGTAATAAAGTTAATAATATATTAGAATAATATCTGCATCTGTGCTAATAGGCTGACAGTAGGTTGTGATGATTGAAAATAGGCGTGGTTTTTGTCCGATTTTGCTAATTTTCACAAGATCACATAGAAATAAAAAAAAAAACAACACACTAAATTTTGTCGAAAACGGTCAGTAGATCACGAGATGTGGGATTTCACCAAAAAGTGGTCGGTGCCACGCCCATCATCCAATTTTCACACCGGCTCCCATAAAGTCTTGTCTTCTTACCTCGTTTACCATCGTTTACCATCGAGGTAGGAAGACAAGCCTTTAATGTTTTTGGCGTATTTAGTTTTTGGGTTAACGCGCTTTTAGTAGTTTTTAACAGTACCGTTATATGATAAGTGATCGGGCTTATCCTTTGATTTCAACACTATCGGTTATTGTAATTAAGTGGTTTAAAAGATGTGTATATTAAACTTGTTAGAGGGCGGGGAATCCCCATTTTTTTCAAAAAAAAAAAAAAATTCGACAGGTACCCCTTGCTACTGTGAGTCTAATAAAGTGAAATGAAACAAAAACTAATTAAACTTCTTTTACAATAAATACAAGAATTAATAAAGCATAAGTTAAACGATTAACACTTATATTTAACAAAAATGTTTCATAAAAGACGCCATTTTCATTTAATGGGCTGCTTTTTGTTAACTTTCCTTGCACTACGCCACTGAACAATTATTATCTATATGAAAATTAATATTAATAATATTCCTCCAAACAGCAATCCACTTGTTCGCACAATTGAAGAAATCATAATCGTCACTATAAGCGCTTGCAATCACAATAAAAGTCAGCAACAGCTGCCACAAATACCCATACACACACAAATGATTATCTTTGTATATGCTGCCGCTCATAAAACGCTGATGAACGTGAGCACAATATTGACAGGAGCATTCAAGCAGATAAGCGACACACCAACGTGGCGTCGCCAGGAGGGAGGAGAGTGCGCGCCGAAAGGATGTGCTCGCTTAATGAGCGACGTGTGCATTTCCCCATTTAATTAGTTTGTTAAATGCTTGTGACGTTAACTGAATTTGCACAACTGATTTCACACATTCAAACAAGGAAAAGGGGAGAAACACACAAAAAAAAAAACTAAAAAAGGCACAGAAAAATTCAAGCGAAAGTAAAAGCAAAGAGGAAGTGGGTTATGAGCGATTCAGTGACTTTACAGAAGTGTAGTGTGTGTGTGGAAGGTGGAAGAGTAGTTGTATAATAGCCGGTGCGGCTTAGTGGTGGTAAGTGTGTGTCTTCCTGTGGCACGTTGAGTGCTCACAAAAGGCAGGAAAGCAGGAAAAGCACAAACAGGTGGCACATCCTGGCTGAACTCCTTTGACGAAGCATACTCACACACACACATGTTTAGTGGCATGTAAATGCGCGTGTGTAAGTGGGCTCCACCCTAAATTAGCTGCTGCTTTTCGCTGTTTTCCATAGTTGCATACAAATGTTTGTAAAGTGTTGCCAATTATTTAAAGAACATATTTGGTTGCGGGCTACTTACCATTCAGTATGTGCACAACTATAGTGAAGTTTTGGAAATCACTAATTGCGCACGTATAGTTGCCGGAGTCGGACTTGTTGATTTTCGCTATGGATAATGTGGAATTGGCGCCGTCGTCCATCAGCTCCGTCTTAACGCTGCAAATCGACGGCGAGAGCGGAAGGAAGAAGAAAACAAGAAACACGTTAGTATGTACATATGTTAGGCAAGTGTGTGAATGAGTGAGGGGGAGAGTGGGTGAGTGAGAGGGTGTGTGAGTGCTCGTATGCGTGCTTAGTTTATGCCAAGCAAAGTTAATATGCAAACATCTGCGTTGAATTAGTTCTGAAGCGGCGCATATTTTACACTTTTCGGAATATTTTTCGTAAATTATTTTCGCCCTTTACTTTGCGCCTTCGCCAGGCTCAAACATAATCCTTGTTCGCACTCACGTTTATCCAATGCGGAGCCACTTAAATTTTAATGAGCATTTTAATGCGCTCATGAGTGTAAGCAACAGCAAATAAGTAACATTAAAAGTGAGAGAAAAGTTAATCAAAATCTCTGCACACGGCGGCGGAGTGAGTGAAGAGGGAGGACGTGGTAGCGCTTGTTAGTAGCACTTTTCGTAGGCGAATGCATTTGTTGCTGTAAATATGTGAATTTCTGTACGTATTGGCTTAAAAGCACCCTGCGAGAATTTTACGATTATGAAACCACTAATAATGCCCTTTTTGAACCACAAATCTGGTTCGGAAGCAAGAATTTATTCTCCGGCGTCAAAAACGACAGGTAAGACTCCCAATTTGCAACAAAAATTGTCTATAAGAAATTGTTGTACAAGATATTATGTTGATAAATCTTTATCAAAGATGCTTTCAAAACATAAAAGGGATTTAAAAAAGCGGAACCAACGACACACATTTTCATTGCCAGTTATGGTGTAAAAAGTCACGTCTATCTTTTTAAGGTTGAATCTAAGTATTAACCTCTATACTTAGGTTTCTGGTTCCTTGAAGACCGCTTATAAATAGGTGGAAGAGCAGTGTATTCAGATGATATATTGATTATTATTCATATACCGTTCAAATAGCTTCATATCAGCCAGAAACTTATTAGATCCCTGGAAAAATTTTATAAGTTCGAAGAAAAGACCTTAGCCCTTGTCAATGTTAACATCAATATTTAAAGAGCAGATTACTCATCCAACATATTTCTGACTAAGAATCTGCAAAACTATCTCAGCTCAGTTTTCCATTGTCAAGGAACTCGAATTTGAAAGTAGCTCTATCTAGTAATGAAATATATATGAATATTTAAAATGATCAGAAAACGTAAGAAGTAGTGGTTCAAGGAACTTCACTTGAAAAAAGACATTATAAAATGGATTTTATTAGTGACTGATTCAATCATTTATGGGACAACTGTCACCATAATTCTAAAAGCTAAGAAGAGCTTTATAGTATATTCATACGCTTGCTTATAGCTTGAAAAAAACTCGTTTTCGACAAAACTGCTCTGCAACAAATAAATACTGGTCCCACAAATCCAACTAAAGACCTGAGTACCTTGTAAGTTGTACCACATCTCAAGGTACTTCATGCCGCCTGCCTTGTATGAAAATACCATTAACAATTTGAAACTAAAAAAAATATTAATCTAAGGTCTGAGTTCATAGCTGTTATTAAAGCAGGGTCAAAAAATCAGAGAAAGCGAAATTTGCATAAATTTCCTACAGACCGTTTGGTTGCAGGGACGTAGGCGCCCTTAGAAGCACTTGCATGAATAGTGTTTTTGTGCTTGGACGCTCGTAAAAAGTGAATTCACGTTTTTCTTCATAATTGACGCACTTATCTTGTTTAAAGTTTTTATTAGCGAGTTAGCTTGAGGGTTTAGCATATATTTTTGCTGCTTTTTCTCCGCTCATAAAGAAATTGAATGATTCGGGGTAAAAAAATATTTTCAAAGGCAGAATGGCTAGAAATTGTGAGCCGGCTATTTACGTTGTATAATTTCATTTATTTTATTTTTGTGCGTTTTAAGTACATAAATTTGGCAGGATTTAGAGTGAGTTCAAAGGATATATTTTATGCAGGCCATAAAATTTGAATGCAGCATATCATATTCATATCATGTCTAAAGAGCAAATGCTTGGAGAGTCTTTGCTGATCTCGCATATAAAATGTTCGTTTTTTATTTTTTTTTTTTTTTTGGTTTTATTTTCAAGCCGTTTAAGTCTGTGCGGTATGCTGACCAATACATTTTAGATGTTTTCCGTGCCATTTAGAAGAGCATGTGAAGAGATTTGAGAAGCATGTCGAGTTATAAACCAAAGAAATGCATTTTCATTACGTCGGGTTAGAAAATGTTCATAGAATGTTCTTGTTATAACTACTTACAGACGGTAAACACATAACTATAGTTTGATCTGAGTATAAATGCATATGAGCTTACATATGCTGGAGTAGCTTACATTTTGCTCCACAATAAGCTGAACATGTGTTTAAGGGTGGTGTTTAACCAAATTTCTCAAGTGCTTTCATTATGGTGTTTAATTAATTTAGAGTTTCATTTAATATCAACTTTGTTTATAAACTCTGAGTGCACGTTCCATAAAAAAGTTATTATATTGCCAGAAAAAAGTTTTTTCTGCCACTATTATATGAAGAATCTTTCGCAGAACCTTCTCTTGGTGGTTCTTTCCCAGCTCACACACCTGCGCGGGATTTTTGTTCGAAGCAAAGTGTTTAAAAAAGGGTACTGTGAGCTTTTTCATGGTTGGCTCGTAGTTAAGAGGAAGTGTAGGTGGTGTATCACCAGACCACTGTAGCGTCTTTCAAGCGGAGTGGTTACCATCAAGGTAGCAGTAGATGTACTACTTCGAAGCCCAGTTTTATTCAAAGATACGATAGTCGAGCAGTTATACTGGCTTTGAGCTCGCTGACCATACGCTCAAAACGAGTCAAGGATAACGAGAACTCATTAGCTTCTTCTATATTAGACTTGCATGTGTGCACCATCACAGCGGAGTCAACGAAAACTGCAAATCTTGCTAGGCAGGGCACCCCTTTCCAAATTTTATCCGATGTAAGCGAGTCGGTTTTGTGAATGCGAGTTTCTTTTAGCCCGAAGGTACCTTTAGGAGGTCCATTAAATTACTGCCTCTTAACAAAGTCAGTCTCGTCGCAACTATGAGAACTATAGTTACTCTGACTGGATATAGTCCAATAGGGAAATCATCTTAACAATTTCTACTCTATTTTCCATCTTTAGCAAAAGTGAGATTGAAATATCTCGGTAGACGGTAGGCGCGAGCCTAGCCAAGTTGCCAAGATTGATATAAACCGTCTTTTTAAATTTCTGGTAGCTTTGTGGATTTATGAGGATCTAGTAATCCACCATAATGGATTTGGGACTAAAACAAAGGACGAATATCTGTCCAAGAGAAATTAATCAATATGAAGTGAATCGCTGTCAGGCGCAACTTAAGATTTGTTCAAAGGAAGCATCAAAAGGATATTGTAAATCCAAATTGATAAAGAAACTCATAAGAAGTCAATGGTTAGTAAAAAAGGATACAGGGTACAAGTTTTGTGTTTCGATGGCACTAGGCCATTTTGGAAGTGTGAGAAGAGGTCGTTGATGAATGACCATATCCAAAGTGAAAACGATGCTCCTTTTGGACTTGAATTCATTTCTCTTGGACAAACCGTCAACGCAAAGTTTTACGAGGAAGTCCTCAAGAGACTCAAACGAAGGGTCAACCGTGGCCCACAAGACATTGCAGCCAATTGGAAGTTCCACCATGACAACGCTTTCGCAGACTCCCTACAGCCCACATGTGGCCACCTCGGACTTCTTTTTTGTTTCCTTGGTTGGAAGAATCGTTGAAAGGGGATTCAAGCAGCATGCACCTCGGCTCTCAAAGCTATTCCTGAAAATGCTTTCCGTGACGCCTTCAATGCTTGCTAATCGCGCTGTACCGACGCAGTGGGAGTATATTTTGAAAGTTTTTAAAGAATTGTAACGATAGGTTCAATAAATTTTTATTAATCGACTCAGTCTCATTTCTTTCTGGACAAACCCTGTATTTATTATTATTAGATTTTAACTTGATTTGAAATATACACAGCAGCTGCTTAGATATGTATATTTGTCAGGTAATGATTAAAGGAGTTAAACTTTTCATAATCGTTTGGTTTTTGAATTACTTTTCAGCAGAACCTTCCTCACCAAACACTTGTTCTCGCAGGTATTCATGGAGACCGGCTATTGGAATTTAGGAACTTCTTCAAATTTAAAAATTTAAGTTCATTGAATTCTGTAAATCTTAGTACTTACATTCATTTATTAAAGAAAATGCCCCTTCAAAAATTGTTTGCAAAAAGGGGCGTTTTTTCTGACCTTTTAAGGTCATGCAAATCGTTAGCAAGAAAACCGTTTGTTTCACCTAGGTATTCCATGTGAATTACTTTATTTCAGTGCGCTGAGCAAAGCAAACGGCAACGCAAACTTAATCTCGGTTCATATGAGACTGAGAGACTGCCACAACGCGCAGCATTTCGTTGCTTGCGACTGTTGCAGCTTTTAATAAAAACACAAATTGCGTAACGGTCCTTTGTTCTTGCTTAATAACTTATTTCAGTGTTAATTTGTAGCAGTCTGCAAACAAGAAGCGGCTTATGGCTGATTTACTTTTCATTCTCGCTTTCTGCTTAAGAGAAAATTAAATTGCAACGACGATGCCATTTGCATATTTGTGTGTGTGAGTGTGTGAATGGGGCTGCGCTTATATGCAAATAGGAGAGCGCGCAGTAATAATGCATTTGCCTTTCGAACACATACAATCGCATTGATATTGCTCATGTATAGATGCATGTATGTATATGTGTGTTTCTACACACACATACTCATAATGGCGCTTTCGACTGAAATCCAACAGAAAGCTAGAACAAAGTGCTACAGAAGTAAAAACTACAAAAAAATGGTTGTGTGCTTGGCAATCCTCCCCCGGCACCCCTCTTCCGGCGCGCGCATACAACTCATCTCATTAAGACGAGCTTTGTAAATTTTAATTTTAATAATAAAATGTTGTTGCGCCGCCAATGCTCGCCCCAAGAGGCGGGTGGCGCAGCGCATATGCACAACGCAACAACTGCAAATGTTTAAACGCGAGTGTACATGACTGTGTGTTGGTGTTAGTGCTAGATTGCATTCTAGGGTGTATATATATATATATATGTGTGTGTGTGTTGCATGCGAATACATACCTGATGCCGCCGCGCGTCACATCGTAGTTGAGCACGTCGACGCCGTGCTTCCAGTACACGACCGATGTGGCCATGGCGACATTGCGGACCACACATGACAGCTGCAATGTTGAATCGATTTCGTAATATTTTTCCTGTAGCGGATCACCGAACTCATCAACAATCATCACTTTCGGTGCTAAGGGATTTGCGGATGAGGAAGAAATGGTAAAACGCAATGGTTAAAGAGACAACAAAAACAATGCTCATAATTCATACATATACACTTTGACACTTTGACACATTCACACATAAACGCTTACATCTCAGTAAGCGTAAATAATGTATATACCCCACACCGCAGCGCATCTCCATTTCAACATTTGTGAGATTTAAATTCACTTAGCGCGCTTGTATGCGTGCGTATGCATTGTGTAGGGTATATACGTATAAAAATGGAATTCACTTACGTGTTTGTACGTATTTGTGTTGCTATAACGGTATATATGACGTGTGTGACTTATAACTGCATGCCATTAAATCGTATATTTATCAGCGTGTTGCCATTTATTTGTTTGAGTTCACCTCAAACACTTGCAACATGCCCAACAACGGTTGTAGCAGTCGTACAACAACAACAACACGTAGTGAAAAGAACTCAAGCCAAGCGTTTTAATGACATGCTGTGTTGTAATGTCATGCACCTGTCTCTTATACACATCTAGATGTGTATAAGAGACAGCACTTGCAACATGCCCAACAACGGTTGTAGCAGTCGTACAACAACAACAACACGTAGTGAAAAGAACTCAAGCCAAGCGTTTTAATGACATGCTGTGTTGTAATGTCATGCACTCATGCGCCACTCAACACTTCACACTGATTACATTGCCACATCGTTACTCACACATACACACTTATAAATAATTAAAGTGTTTACAGTGGCGGACATGAAAATATGACTACTATGAATTTATTTTTATTTTATAAAGTATATTTCACTTTCTGGCTTCATGGCGAAAAACTGCTACAATTAATTTTTACAAGCCTCTCTTGAAGCCAAATTCACTCCATCAAGGGAGTTCTGCATTGACCGAAACAAATGGTAGGGCAATGCCAAGGCTATACAATAATATATATATATATATATAACGTGTGAGGTCTAACGTTGTCCTGATGCAGACGATGCCTTTTCTGTTGATCAGTTCTGGGCGCTTTTTTGAATTGCTTGCTTCAATGACAGTAAAATGCAGAATCAATTGTTCGACCAGGCTGGAGCAATTCATTGTGGATGATTCCTTTCTAATCCCACCAAACACTCAGCATGACCTTTCGAGGTCTCAATCTTGGCTTTGCAACCATTTGCTGATCTTCAACACGCTTAGACCATGATCTTTTTCGCAAATTCGCAAAAAATTTCGTATTTGATCCATTTATCGCCTGTTGTTGCCATTTGCTTCAGAAATGTTTCGCTTTCATTTCGCTTCATTTCCATTAATTTTTCACAGACAATTCATGTGGTACCCAAACATCGAGTTTCTTTTGTAGCCAGCCTTTTTTAACTGGTTCAAAATGGTTTGATGATGAATGTAAAGTTCCTTAGCGATGTCATGCTTGATTATATGACTCTCATGGTCAATATTTTCTAAAGCTTCATCGACTTTTGCAAGGATAGGTCGGCCAGAGCGAAGAGAACGATGGAGCGAATATTGTTGTGCTACACGAACTGATACAGCATCGTCTCCCTAAACGTCACAAATTTCATTGGTGGCTTGCGTGGCATTTTACTCTCTTTTAGACAAAAATTTCGAAATATAGCGAATTTTTCCATTATTTAACTGTAACTTTTTTTCAACTTCTCCGAATTTAATATTTTTTGGGTTGAAAGAAGCTTAAAATCTCAACTTTCCATTACTATGTGGCATGACACAATGTGATTGGTAGCACTGGAGACGAAAAGACTTTTTCGACTACTCTATATTAGTCCATACAAGGATTTGATTTGGAGTTTCAGTTTGTATGTCGGGTGGGTTCGTGTTTATTTTATAAAAGGTAAAGTTGGTTTTAATTTTACAAACTGATTTTATTTTGGTTTTACAAACTTATTTTATTTTAATTTTACCAGCGGCTTGCAACTTGAATAATGCTCGTCCGCGTGTCGACTGACTGTCGTTTTCAAAGTCTTGGTTGCTCGTTTCTTTGTCGCAATTCGTTGTCAGTCAGTGTAGCATGTTACTGACCATATGCACACCCTTTCCTTCCCCTTTCTTCGTTCCCACATGTATGTCTTATATAAGCCGTGGTATGATAATATGTTATAAAATTATCGCATTTTCTTGGAAAATAATCCGAGTCAAATTTTATGGAAATATTTTGAAAAATAAAAAAGTTTTTCACACAAAAACGTGAATTTTAAATTTATACTGGTCCCATATCAACGTTTCCAACAAATGAGCAGTTTCTAGCTGGCTGAGTCGTTATATACAGGCGGACGGACAGACAAACGAACTTAACTAAATTGATCCAGCTCGTCACACTATATTATCTTCGATGTTTCCTGCTGCCCTATCCAGGTTATAAATATTGTCAAAACTCTTAAAGTAAAATATCAAATTTTTCGTGGTGCTATAATAATTATTATCTTACTACACGCCGTAATTATTATCTGCCAACATTGATAGAGTTTCTATTTCCCAGTTAAAAAAATTTTGTAAATATCAAAAAAGAAAAAAAACTGGGTATGAATATAAAAATATGTATGTTTGTTATCCTATAATTTTTTTTTAGTCTGCATCCACTATTTTTGGTATTCAATTTTATTTTCGTTAACCTCGAGGCTACTAAAAGATATTCCTAGTTGAAAATCCATTACCTGTAAACGTACATATTTGCATGCCAGCCACTGTATGTGCAACACGTAATGAAATTTCCTTTTTCGAGGCATTTTACCCATCATAAATGCAATGCAAGACTTAAAGCCACATCATCGGCTGATTATATGATCACTTTATGATTGCGTTGAGTCGTAACGTTGCATAATCTCTCACACATACACACGCACACACACACACAACCACATTTAAGCACTCACCATTAACGAAGAGATTAATTTGTATCACACGCGGCGGATGCGTCGATATCTGACACTCGTACATCGCTTCGTCGTCCTTCTTCACGTTCGTGATTTTCAGCCGCCAATTGTTGGGATATTGAAACTCCATTTTGTAGCGCTTATCGCCCGTGTATGTGTGCAGACCGACCGTCAGCAGGTCGAGTGCATTTTCGCCCAGTGCGTTGCGACGCACCCAGGACACCTAAGCAAGCGAGCAAAGCATAAAAGACATAAAATTAGATTAACGGCTACATAAGAGAAGAGAAAAGAAGAGAACTTAGAAGAAATTGCAAAAAAGTCAAGTGTGGTTGTAGTAAAGACAAGTTAAGTAAAAGTCTCAGAGCCATGTGTGAGTAGTGCATTTCATTACTACAACAACACTTCACTGACACATTTGCACTTTCCTTATTACTTCTTGCTTGTCTTTGAAGAAGAGCTTTGTCGCATGCATAATTAAGAAGTTGCAAGACATGTCTTATTATATGAGCAGCTGCAGCAGTACAAAGAGCTGTAGACGGCCATAAGATTGTGGGATGACTTATTTACTCAGGGACAATGGCAAAAGTCAAGCGATGCTTTCAACTCGAAATGACGCAATTGAAGATACTCTAGCTCACGACTATGCAAATACAAACATAATTTTCCTTTTTGAATTAGTTGAAACTATTCCTGAACTCTATGAAGCCACAAGGTCGGGTGAGTTCATCTCTGGTTAAACTTCTATTGCCTCTTTCTTGTATGTAAGAAAAAACTTTTATATTTCTCACATAAGTAAGGTGAGAACGGCTTCAACTTTATTTTAACATATTTTTCTAGTTTTTAAGATAACACAATACAATTTTAAAGAAAAAAAAATAGTTTTTGGGTAATAGGCGCTCTCGACAACACTAAATAATACCATGATTCAAACTTTCTTCATGGATGATGTGATGAACCTATTGTTCGGGAATGAAAATGTTGTCGAAAAAAATCAAAAATTTACTCAAAATTGTTAGCTCAAAAACCGTTTGAGATATCAACAAAAAATCCATTCATTTGACTGGGCCCTTTCTCAAATGTAACGAATCGACAAACCTTGCATGCAATGCGACCATGTTTAAACGTAAAACATGAGACTTCTTCTTGAAGAAATTAGACCCTATGATGCCATATTGATGGGGTTTTCAGTAAGAGCGCTACAAAAGTAAAATTAAATAAAACAAAACTAATTTGAACGATTATGTATTGCTTTATTCCTGTGAAGGTACATTCGGTGTCAGTATGTATGGAACTCGATTTCTCTTACCTGACCACCATGCCTGCGGAAGTTCAGACGCTGAACCCAATTTTCGACGATTTTCAAGCACAACTCGGACGATATTGCTGCAAGACCATAGACTTGACATAGAGCCACAGGAAATAGTCTAACGGCGTCAAATCGCATGACCGGGCAGCCAATTGACTGTGCCATTTCATGAAATAACACGTTCAGCTAACTTGGTTTTCAAAAAATCGATTTTAATATTCGCTGTGTGGCTTGCCCCCCGCATAGGGTTGTGCGCAGAGTTTGGGACCCGCCACGTAAAAAAACACCGCCAATGAAAAGGAACAACCAGCTTCGGATGAGAGGCTGTTGTTAACTCGGCTATAATCGCGTAAGCGGTGTCTGCGCCAATTAAGAAGAAGAAGTGCGGCTTGTGACGATGATAAAACCTCATATTTTACAAGTTTGTATCATCCAGTTCAAGCCAAAAATATTCGGTTATCATTGATCAACATGGATGAACTACGGCTCAATGATGGCGCGGCCTATAAATCGCAACAAACAATGGTGACTTATGGAGTATTGAATTATCAGTCCAATTCTCGAGCATACAACAATTCTGGTAGTCAAGCCGCTTCAGTTCTTACGCCCGTTTGATACTGTAAAGACCAAGATCTTTTCGAGAAATTCGCCACAACGACGTCAAAGAGATGCCCAACGCTTAATAACGACGTGTAATATACTGATATGGGTCTAACTCAATTGATGCGCTAGCGCAGCAATATTCTCGACATTGCGGGCACTTTTTTGCCACATTGACACGGAAACATTTCGTACTGTGCCGATGGGTTCAAAATTTTTCACTAGACGCACAAATGCCGATCTGACATTACGACTATGACGACCATAAATTGAACGTGGTGCTCTTAAATTTAGGCCACTGACTCCGAATTTCTTTTGTAAATTTTAACAATTTTGACTCGTCGTTGGATCCTAAATCTTTACATGTTGTTGGATCGTACAGTTTTCCATGATGAAAAGACAAAATTTATTGAATAGAAATGTCAAAAGAACGAAAAAAATATGCCGTCACTTGCTGTCCCTAATGATCTACTTATGTAGCGTGCCTATTGAATTGATCCATTTCAATCCGCATCAAACTGCCAATTTTTGGGAAGGCAATTGACGAAGCCAAAAATTCTTATTCGGAGAACGTGAATTTGCATAATAATTCAATACCAAAGTGAAACGTGGCGTTTTTAAATGGCAAACCTTACTGAAACACCTGATAAAATTTACACAAATGCGTAAACAAGTGTGGTCGCCACGAGCTGTCAAAGCCATTTGGTCTCTTTTTCTTGTCGCTTCATTCATTCATTTTTAAAGGTATAAACCATCAAAATATTAAAAAACTGATTTTTTTGTAAATTTCACACTAGTTGTGCCCCTTAAAGCAAATTCCCTCTTAGAAGGGAGTTTCCAAAATCTCTGATTTCAGTCAGTTATTATACAAATAGGACGAAAATAAGTTCTAATAAATCATTTACAAAAATGTTGGATTCTAGAATAAATTATCATAGAAAGCTTGACATTTTCAGATATTAATTCCATAAAAAGTTTACCGAAGTTCATTAATGTGCTATGTAATTGTTAGGCGGAAACACCTCGATTGCAGTGGGAACTATACAATTGATGTTTGAGGGTTTCTTGTCATTTCTTGTCATAGGTTTCCTGTCACTTTAAGAAGAACAGACATATGTATATTTTATAATTTTTCAAACATTAGGAATCTAATTTGTCCGACCTAATGTCCGATCTAATGGAAGAATATGAAACTTCCATGTTCGACGTTTACAAGGTCTTTCAGCACATTTTGTATGATATTCTGCAAGTCGATAGATTCAAATTCTTCCACCATGATGGAAAACAAATAGCTTTAAACAAAAACGCGAGTGCTACTTTCATTATCGGAAATTAATCGCAAAAACCATTATAGAAAACTTCAATTCCATATAGAATTTAAATATGGCGAAATTGGTGTAGTAGAAAATCGTAACATTGGAATAAAGTTGATGTTTTCTCTTGTAGAACATTCCATCATTAAAATAGCTAGTTCCCCAATCAAATTTAAATCACTTCGCTGTGCATACCGTTGTTGTTGTATGCATTGTCATGTTGTTTCTATTTCAATTGCATCATTTTCCAACTAGTTAATGCTGAGCAAGCGCCGTTAGAATATAAGACTGGTGGAACGTGGGGTGTGTCGAAACTGTTAAGAGGGTATTAAAAAATGAAATATTTGTGGCAAGAAAAACTTTGCCGCTTTGCTTCTTCCATCACTGTGACTGCCTGCCACTCGAGACCTGCTATTATTTCGCTGGCAACCAGAACAGGGGAGAAAGGCGCATTTCATTCATTTATGTGGCGGTTGCAACTAGAAGAAGTCTTTGAGTGCTACCTGCTTGGCAAACACTCAATTTTGTTGTCGTTGTTGTTGGAGTTTTTGTATTTTACAGCTATGCCACCATTAATGACATACAGCAGCTGTGAGGAGGGAAGTAAAATTGCTATTTGGTTCTATATTGCACTGCATAGTATTTCTGGGAATCCCGAAATTTCGGGATTATAAAGCTTGCATTTTTGTTCAATGTAATTTCAGTGAAAAGCGTAAATCTGTGTAAATAACAGTATACATCAAATTCAATAGCATAGAATTACACTGAAATATATGAAAATTTCGGGATCCCGTTTTAATATTCGGGATTTCGGGATCCCGCTTAAAAACACAAAATCACTAGTTAATTCAATATTATTAAAAAACGAACTTCTTTTGAAACTTCCGCGGATTTTTTTTTTATTTGGAATATTTAACACATTTTTTTTTTGCAAATATTTCTGAAACTTATAGTCGTACTTATTTCTACTTGAACAACTTACAGTCTTATCTTGCAGCAGCGAAATTCTGCAATTCAAATGTATGCTGCTACCCGCCTGCACCGTCATATTCGTTGGCTGTCCCACGCGCTGCACATCCTCAAAGTGTGGTCCATATCTGTGTGCACACACACACACACACATGTGTGCATAGATTTGGAAAAGTTTCATACGGGTGGTGGCAATCGGGTTGCATGTGGCAGGTGCAAATCGAGTTGTTGAGTTCGCAGCAATTGCGGCAAATGGCAGCACATGACAATGAAAAGAGACGATAAAATGTGTTGATTATTTGTTATTACAGCAAGTTGAGTGAGTTAAATTTCAGCTGTGTAAGTGTGTGGATTAAGGACAAATGTTCACAAATATGACATAATCTTATCCGGTGACGTAGTGATATTGCCGAAATTCACCTTTGCTCCAACTATTACGAAGGTTTATGCATTTTTAAGAATGTTATGCCGAAAGAGGAAAAGGAATATCTAATAAAAATGTAATACGCTGTTATATTAGTATTGACTGCAGTTTAAAAGTGGTTGCACTGCTTATTTTGCTTTGACTGGTATACTATATTCATTCCAACCGCAGTATCCAGCTGTGGGTATGGATTACTAAAAATCGCTAAAAAGCTTTCAACTAAAATTAATTCAAAGAGGGGGGGCTGCCACATGAAGCAATAACTGCAACGTGGGCGACAAATTGAAGAAATTGGAAAATCTCAAGTTTGCAATTTTTATTCTGAAAAATTTGCCATAAGTTTAAAAGTTTGTTAAGAACAAGTAAGGAAGGGCTAAGTTCGGGTGTCACCGAACATTTTATACTCTCGCATGATAAAGTGATAATCGGGATTTCATTATCCGTCATTTACATTATTTTTTATTTTGCTGTAAATTAATTAGATTAGATCAATTTGTGTACTTTGAGTATTGAATTGTATTTT